AAGAAGAGTGAATGAAAAGAAAGCACCTTGTGGATAACATAGGGCTATTGACAAATGCATTGCCATGAGGTAGAATTTACTCAATGGTAACTGGTATGCTCTCTAGAAACACAATATGATATTTTTATATGTTTCATTGATGACTTAATATCTTCTCTTCCCTCTCCCCAAATAGAATGCAATATCCTTAGTATGTACTAATGCCTAGTGCATACTGAGTGTTCAATAAATACTATTGATTGAGTAGAATCATTATGCCAACTTTATCTTCACACATAAGTTGGGCTAACTCTGCCTGAGCCTCAGGTAATTCTGAAACCAACTTCAGTAATTTAGTTTGAAAAAATACCACAGCCTTAGATTGAAAAAGTCTCTAAAATACAACCTACACTATTGTTAGAATATAATTGTGTAAAGTAGAAAACATTCTCTATGAACAATTGAAAAGGAGAGAAGCCAGAGTTATGCATCAATGTGGATTCAATATGCACATATAATAATACATATGTGTATATATTATATACATTCATATGTGTGTATGTGGACACACATATGTGTGTGTATTTATATATGTGTGTGTGTGTATATATATTTGTCACCTGATGGGATAAGTAACTAGAAGCTGACATTATTATTGCTGAAGTAGGACAATAAGTGTATGGGAGACCTTAAGTGGATAGGTTAGCACAATAGTCATAAATATGCTAGCAATTCTGGGAATGTATCAAGATCAATGTTCCTTTTCTTGCACATGAACTAGAAGTTAACTTGATATAAGTTGACAACAACTATCTATCCATATAGCTGTATGTAGACATAATTTTTTTCATTACTTATTTTTGAATTTAATATTATTTTTCAGTCTTTTATTTCTAAGCTTATCTTTGTTAAATACATCGTTTTATCAACTTATTTTTGATAAAAAATATTATAAACATAGTATATGAGGGAGCTTCAAAATATTTTTGAACAATTCCATTACATTTTAATCCCATAGTCCAGGAACTTTGTGAAGCCATTCATAGTTTAATGTGAGGAGTGGAATTAATCATAATTCATTAAAAAACCAAATTATTAAACTATTCCTAATTATTTAGCTAAAAAAGAACATGTAAATTAATCTAACAAATAATAAAAAAATGTAAAATGTTTCCTCTAGTCCGTTACATATCAATATGTTCATTTTAAAATAAAACATGATTGATCAAAATACTTTATTATAAATATGAAAGTTATGCCGATTCATAAGATTTAGAGAATATGAGTATATCTCTATATATGTTCGATATAACTTTATTATCAACTGGGACCATATAAAACCAATAAAATAAAAGAAGAGTCCTCTCAGCCTTATTTCCATTGGTTTAATAGAAATATCTTCTGGATGACAGAAGCTTAATCACAGCATGTATGTTAATTATTTTCAGCACAGCAGAAAGAAGCAGGGTATGTTGATGTTACTGTAAAGACACTGCATTCATAAGTTTTGCACAAAAGGAAAAATTGTTTAAGGGGATAAAAAAGAACATTGAATTGGAAGGAAATGCTTTTGTTGACTTTTCTCAAAAATAGGACTAGTATATTGTACCTTGCCAAATTAAAAAATTATTGACTAGTACAGCTGTGTTAAAAATATTTTGGCTACTTATAAAAACATACTTTGAGGTCTAGGAATTCCACTTATGTTCTATGCCCTATGTTACCACTTAAAAAAAACTCTACCAAATATATTAAGGCGAATGTTAGTGCAATATTGAATTAAAATATCTTTCAAGTAATACTTACTTCTATTCTTCAGCCATCTCTTTCCCAAAGTCTTGTTAAGGATCCATAACCTGAAAGTAGAAAAAAAATGAAGATGTGATAAGAGTGAAGGATTACCATGAACTAACATATACTCACATTATTTATTTAATGTTTGTATTAAAAAGGCAAAAAAGTCTACCCTAAAATTAAAATATGCATCCTGAATTTTATATCGAAATATAGATTTAAATATTCCATTTTAAATCTGTGTACTTGAACCACTTCCCCAGTTTAAAAAACAAAAACAAGAAAAACTTCTCTTGTTTTCCAAAAAGCCATTTGATGTATATAATACCTCAACATCCAATTGATTAATTGTTGATGCTTTTTTTCTAAATTTGCAAATATATCAAAGCAAAGATCAAGAAATTTACAGTGAAAATTAATAAATATAGTAAAATATTTTCAGCCAACATAATTTGTATAGTTTAAAATAAAAATCAAAACCTAGTACAATTGTTATTGTTGCTGTTTACACAACAAATTTTATAGACAAAAAATTATCATGGGTGAACCTGCAAAAAATTCTATGAAATAATTGGTTTAACATCTTAGTAAATTTAAATTCTTTAAGAAGAGAGAGGATATCAGTAAAGTATTACTTTTTAATTTTTAATGTGATTGTGTCATTCTACCATGTTAAAGTGTATAATTTAATTACATTCATAATAGTTTGCAACTATTATCACAATATTTTTTATCACCCTACAGAGAAATTCAGTACCCTTTTCCATTAACACCCCTCTCACTCTTCTCCAAGCCCTGGTAATCATAATAAATGTTTTGTCTCTGTGCATCATACAGAAATGCTATTTTTACATAAAGCTTTATGTTAAATGTTAATATCATAATACATCCACTTAAATAATCCTATTATTTAACATTATGAAATTAAGACACTAGTCCAAAATGTGTTTTCAGAAATGCTTTGCAAATAAGTCATCTTATATGTTTTACTTACAATTTATTTCCTGGCCAGTTTTACTTGCTGTTATAGGCATGCAGGCATGATTTATCTCCATTAGTAACTAAAATAGTGTTGAAATGAGGTGCAGGTTTTGGAAAACATATGCTTACTGATGAGGCTTTAGAAGTGTTTTCCAACACTGTGTGACAGTACAAATATTAACAAAATGATTTACGGTTGAGTTCAGTTTTTTAAACAGTAGAACATTAATGTAAGCTGCAGAAAGAATGTTTTCCTCCATTGACCTAGTTCATAAGAATTGGCAAAGTAGTTGGAAACTAAAATATTAAGGAAGGCAGTCTTCTTCCCAGACTATGATTATGCAAAAAGAGGAAAGCATAGTTCTAAGCTTTTAACCCAATGATTCATGATTTTCCACCTAAGCCAATGTTTATTTTTAAATAATTGCTGAAATAATATTACACAACATATAAATGGCTCAATTGTATATATATTTATATATAATTACAAGTAGTTCTTTTTTATTTAACACTAAATTACTGAATTAATGAAAATAATATATAAGCAATTAAAATTGATTTATTTGATAGTCCACATAATTTACTTTAAATACTCTGGTATATTCAGTATGTAGTACATTAATTTATCATTAATCTACACACTACAAAAAGTTATTGGGATTCAAAGAATTCTATTTAAGGATTCACCTTTTTAAATTGGTTATAATTCTAATTTTTCTCATCAAGAATTTACACTCCATGGAATCATGAATTCTTCAAAATTCCAAATGTTGCACAGTAAATATGCATGAGTACATGGGACTTGGTAATTTTACAGAGTTGTAACAAGTAATTGGTCATCGTTATAAGTGAGGATCAAGAAGTGTTGGCCATTGTGAAAATGTCAATTGTACCCAAAGAAATCTACTGATAAAATACAATCCTAATCCCGATTTCAAAATTATTCTTTAAAAAGAAGAAATAAGCAATCACCAACTTTATCTGGGAAGGAAAGAGACTCTGGGTAAGCAAAGTGCTGCTAAAGAACCATGGAGTAAGAGGCATCACGTTTCTGGGTCTCAAAACCCACTACAAGGCCATGGTAATCAAATAGTCTATTGCTGGCACAATGACAGACACAAACCAATGCAACAGAATCGTCAACCCAGAAGTGAATTCATCCACCTTTCGGCATCTGATCTTTGCCAAATGATCAAAGCTCATTAAACAGGGAAGAGATAACCTCTTTAGCAAATGGTGCTGGTAATACTAGACAGTAACCATGTGGAGAACAATGAAGCAAGGCCCAAGATATATGGAAATAAATGGATCAAGACCTAAGTGTGAAACATAAACTCTAAAGACCATCAATTTTTTTAAAAAGGACAAATTTAGTGGATTAATATGTAGCATAAATGCATAATCCCAAATAGTCTAAAATTCACAAACGTCAGTAGACAAACTAGATGACTAGTCTCCTAAAAATGAAACCATTAAAATTTTTCACTAAAAATTTAATTCCAGATTGGTAGGAAATTGGCAACAGTATATCAGATAAACAAATCTAATATTTATAGAAAAGTTCAACATCTCTAAAAACAATATGACAAACATTTCAATTAAAAATGGGATAGAGAATACAAAGACTCAACTAAGCAGACATTCAGGAAGCAAACAAAGACATGAAGATATGCTCATGATCATTAGCCGTTAAAGAATGGAAAATCAAAGTAACAAAAAGATATTATCTCACTCCAACACTGATAGACAAGTTTATTTTGCTAACCTGCCCAATAGGAACATATGGAATTAATAAAGTTGCATTTGATTGAAGGGCAAATAGATAAATGGCTCAATAAGGCCCACCCCTCTCTCACTCTCTGGTGCTCAGACCAGTTTGCAGCTGCATTAGTTTATTCTCTGCCTCAACTTGTGAGCTACAATACCTGTGGGACAGACAGCCTGTGGATAATGTTTCTAGAGCAGTGGTTCTCAACCTGTGGGTTGTGACCCCTTTGAGGGTCAAATAACCCTTTCACAGGGTTGCCAGATTAATTACAGTAGCAAAATTATAATTATAATGTAGCAAGGAAAATACTTTTATGGTTGGGGTCACCACAACATGAGGAACTGTATTAAAGGGTTGGCACTGGGAAGGTTGCGAACCACTGCTCTAGAGCTTGAGTTTCCTTTGAAACCTGCTTCACCTGCTGGTGGAGTGTACATCGCTTGAGCTTGAGGCTGATGGATCCTGTTGTCTTGCATGGCTTGAGTTCGATATCCCATTGGGGCCTGCTTCCCTAAGTTCCTGAGCTGCTGACTGTTGGTGACCCACCTGCTGCCTGTGGCCGGACTACCTGCATTACCTTAGGGAAGACTCAGCTGTCTGGTTCCTTGACCTTGGACTCAGCAGCCCTCATGAGTTGAAGGAATTCCACATATTTACAGTGCCACAGAAGTGAGTTGAACTGTACCTTTTGTACTACTGTGTGGATTAATTAACTGTTATACTCCTCTATGCTTTAAAAATCTATCCTTATATATGATTTTATATATATATATATATATATATATATATATATATATTCATGTGCCCTGGTGTTTTTTTTCTCTAGAGAACCCTGCCTAACAGAAGCACTAATAGCAAAATTTTACAAAAGAAAACATCAAGCACTTGGGAGGGTGTGGAGACATGGGAACCATAAAATACTACTTGTGGGACTCTAAATGGTGCAACCACTGTGGGAAACTGTGGTCCTTCCTAACAATGTTGGAAATAGAAATGCTATATAATCCAGCACTATCACTACTAGGTAGATATCCTACAGAAATAAGAGCTATAACACATATGCACACCTTTATTTATCACAAAGCATTCACAATTTCAAAAAGATGGAAACAAACTAAATGCCCTTCAATGAGAGAATGGATAAACACACTGTACACACATCGGAATACTTGTCAACCTTAGATTAACAATGAATCTTTGATATGCCTGAAGACATGGATAAACCTGCAGGACATTTGATGACAGGAATAATTCAAATACAAAAGGGAAGATATTATATTAGACCACCATTATAAGATTTCAGAAAAATAATTCACACCAAAGAAATTATTTGATGATTATTGAGGGACTTTTCTCATAAACCCTGAGGATTCAGAGTAGAATGGAGAGTAAATTACTAACTGGAGGGTAGAAACATATTCATCTGGAAAAAAGTGAAGTCAATATTCGATAGAAGCGGTTCACTCCAACCCCAAACGCTCCCCCCACAAAAAAAAAAACAACAACGGAGCAAAGACTATAGAAAAGGCTAATTAAAGAAGTCACTAACCTGCAAACAGAACTCTGATTCAGGTAATTCTGTTTTGCTACAGAAAAACTATCTGTCAAGATTCTTTACATAATATTGCAGTAAACAACCAATCTTGTCTTATAAACACAAAGCATGTTTTTCTGCCATAGTAAATGTCAAGCAGGTTGGCTACAGTGGTCTATTAATCATGGTAACTAACATAAATAGGGTAATAGAACAGCTATCATAAACATGGCCTTTTAGGGCACAAAAAGGTTGAAGGAATACTAGCAACCAAATGCTTTAGTCACAAGTAGGCTAGGAAATGCAGTACAATCGTGATGTTAGTAGCAAAAAAGTCAGAATCATATAGTAGACAATACAATTGGCTATAGTTGCCAAAAGAATCATAGTAATTCAGTATCTGCTACTAAACACTGAAAGTTTCTGTTCTGAACAGTGTATCTTAAGTTGTCATAGATCTTAAAAATCCACTTTTTACAGGCATTAAAGTGATGAGATTTTATTTTGTATTATTAACTAAGGACAAAATTTTATGAATAATAATATATTTACTTTACAGAGCCTAGCATATGGACTGAGCATGTTTAAATATATAAATTATATGAATTTTCACTTAATATTTTAACTGTGGGGATCATTACAAAATTACAAAAACATACTGTACTTAATATTCACACCTTTTAACAGTAGTGGTCAAGATTTTGTGGATATACTAATGATAATAGATGCTTGATAAAATGCATATTGCAGGGTCTTGAGCTAATATTTGATAAAATTGG